TTTCTCTGAGAAAGGGACTTCATAAGTTCATTCTCAAAGAAACTTAGAGAGAAGTTTTAGAGAGAAAGACTCTGGGTTCATGAGCTTCTTTCTCTCCCAAATTTCTCTTTTTGATTCTTCTTCTCTTCTAGATTACTAATCTCTTTTGTCTTCTCTTGGAATTCAGGCTAAAAATCTTGCTTTTGGAGGATTGAAGTCCGGGAGTCGAGCTTCGAAGGAAATTCTTCTTCTTCTCAATTTGTGGCTATTCTTGAGCCAATCTTTCAGGTGATATAAGCTAGAATGTAGGTTGTTTGGTTGCATGTGAGTTTAGGAACTTCATTGATGCATGAATTTTAAGAATCCATGGTTGGATTGGAGAAACTTCTCATTTTCGGGGTTTTGGGAAAAATAAGGGTTTTTGATGATTTTGATGCGTATGTTAGATGCTTGTTGAATCTGAGGTTATTTTTGAATTGTGTGAAGCATATGTGTCGTGTTTCATGGATTGCATGTGGCTAGATTTCCTGATTTTCAGGTTTTGGATGGAATTTTCTAGGTTTTGGGGGTTTCTGCATTCATCAAAGGCAACCATTTCTTGATCACGCTGGGCGCGAGGCTAGTCGTGCTGGGCGTGATTGAAAATGGAAGTCTCTAGATGAGTTCACGCCAGGCGTGGGGAGAACCACGCCTGGCGTGATATTAGATAGTGACCCTATTTGGTGTTTTACTGATGTGGCGCCAGGTGCAGGGTTGATGCGTCGGGCGTGAAGACCCTTGGAAGTCTATGTTTGATTTGGCGTCGGGCGCAGGGTGTACGTGCCGGGTGTGGAAACACTTGTGAGTCTCTGTTTGAAGGACGCCGGGCACGAGTTGATTGCGCTAGGTGTGAATGAGCCTTAGAGCTCTCAGGTTAGATATTAGGCTGGGCGCGAGTTGGCTGCGCTGGGCGTGAATATGCTTAATGATGTTGATTGAAGATGATGCTTTTGCATGTTTAAGAGTGAAGTTGGATCATGTATGAATGTTTAAATATGATATGACATGTGTATATGTTCATATGAGGATGATTATTGATCATGATTGTGGATAGACCATGTATGATGTATGATGCATTATTGCATGTGATGTCTTATGACATGTTTCTAGCCTAGGACTTGAGGAAAGGGAAAATGCTTTAGAACTGGAAGAGCTCACATAGAGTCTCTTGATAGTGGTGCTTGGATAGACCACTGATTGATGAGAGTGGTGCTTGGATAGGCCACTGGTTTGGGTGAGAATGGTGCTTAGATAGACCACTGATTTGGGTGAGTCTCCTCTAAGTCCTTAGTTAGTGTTGGAGCGGGGTATGAGGTTGAGAGTTATTCCTTTAACCAAGTACTGGGAAAGATGCGTGGTTCCTTGTGGATAGTCGGTGGGCGAACTCCACAAGTGGCTTGGTAATGCATGCCAAGGTTGTGGTAAGCCTGTATCCAGCTGTGCTATACCTGACTGTGAAACTGAACTTACAAGTGTGTAAGTGACATCGTCCAAATAAACCCAAGTGAGGATTTATATCCTATTTAGTTGTGGCCAAGCGGGCGCATTGGGCGTGAAAACGATTGGGGTGGTTTCGGTAGGATTGGGATGTCACTTATATTGCTTTGTTGTTAGGGAGATCTCCTAGGTGTATGTGTGACGACGCATTAGATGATTGATATTCATTGATATATGTCATAAGTTGCTATTGTTGCATGATTTCTAGTATGATGAAGTGTATGGTGTTGACTTCATGTTTGATGAATTGATGATTGATTGAGATGGAAGTCCCTTTGGGACTTGATTCGATGATTATATAGTATAGATTATTGTTCTATACTTGTATGGTTGTTTATTGAACTCTAGCTTACTCTTCTGTTTCCATGTGGATGGACTGCAATGATCATACTGTGTATGGGAGCAGATCAAGGTTAGGTTGGAGATGGTCGCGGTGACTGCTGCGAGATGAGGAGTTTTGTCTTCGTGTCAAAGTTACCACTTGGGTAGCTGTTTTGTCTGTGCTTGACCGGCACTAGGAAGATATTATTTTTGGGATGACTGTACATATTTGGTGTTATATTTTGTGCATTGAAACATAGTTATTAATATCTTTTCTTAGTCTATCTGTATAGCTAGTGCGATTTCTCTAAGTGTAAGGACTATGGCGAGTTGTTACATATTGCATTATTCTTAAGTTACTCACATTACAATTTTACAAATTTTGCTTCAATGGTAAGATCTTATAAGCAACTCACACTTTTATAATTTTTTATTTACAATTTATTTTTGTACAACTTTAAAAATTAATGTAACTATTATAATTAATCATTAATTTAATTAAATATAATAAATAATATTTTTAATTTATAAGAATAATGTGTATTTTAAGTAATGTTTATTTCATACTCATTTCTTATTTTTAAGCAATTTCATATGTCATATTATCACATTAATAGAAGTTACTAATAAATATTGTTACTTGCACAAAAACTTTGTATTTGAGATGCTCGTAGGCATACCATGTGGTTGGTGAATATTATCGTTGAAAAGAAGCAATTAGGAATGATAAATAAACCCGTACTCGTGGGTAATACTCGAACCTGTCCTGAATTTGACGAAAAATACCTGGTTTGACCGGGTACGGGTACGGGTACGGGTATATACATACCCACCCCATACCCATCCCCGTTCCTGATTGAATTATGTTAAAAAAAATTAATATTTTATTGTGTAATTATTTATTATAATGTGAAATATTTATAGTTGTTTAATTATTAAGAAATCTCTTGATTAAAATATGAGATAAAGAAACAATTTAATTATAATGATAATATAATGAAAAAATAATTTAAAAATATTGTATTTTTTTGTAAAAAAATAATAATAATTTTTTACAGGTACGGGTATATCCGATACCCGACGGGGACGAGAATGGGGACGGAAATTACATACCCAGTGGGTACGGGTACGAGTACGGGGATAAATTTGAGTCGCGGGAACGGGGACGGGTATCATGAAACCCGTACCCGATCTGCCCCGTTGCCATCCCTAGAAGCAATCACGAAGCAAACATAACGCAAAAGATCTGTATGCATTGAGATATAATTTTTTTTATTGTTGTATTTAATGCCTTAATTTATTCACTATATTTTAAATAAATTGTCATTTAAAGTAATACATAAATTTTATAAAGTAATTAATACTTATAATAACAATTTTTTATCTATGCTAATTTTTTTAATCATGTTATTAGTATGGAGTAGGGTATAAGAGAGTCAGATTAGGTCGGGTTTTGATGGATTTATTACTTGACTCGATTAAAATTTAATAGGTTTAGTTAAGTCAGGACTCGCATTTTTTTAAATCTTACCCAACCTGCTCACAATTCATAAACATGTTGAGTTAAGTAAATCTAGTCAACATAATCAATTTTATTTTTTATTATAAAAATTTTAAATATTTAAGAATATATGTAAATTATTTGATATTTTACTGCAAATGTTATGTTATCAACTCATAGAATAAATAATGATACAAATTAAATTCTAAAATAAATATTAATGTTACTAACTCAAACAACTCATTAATATAATATAAAATTTAAAATAGATCTGTTGTACTATTATGAGGCAATCAACCAAAAAGTACAAAATCAGTTACTAAACAAGAGTGATAATGAGTATTATCTCAAGTAAGTAATCATTCAAATACTAACTTATTATAATACGTGACTGGTTAAGGTCACATGTAAAAATTACAAAATCTATTACTCAACATGTAGTGTCAAACTTTGATTGAGTCGAATTAGGATTGATTCGAACTCCAAAAAAATTGATTTGAATTCATTAAATTGGTTTAAGTCAACTATCACTTGCATGTTACATGTACTACCATGTATTACTTACATTCCTAATACAAAGTATCCACCGATTTTGCTAATGATTGATATATATCTGGGATCCTTGGTTGGCCATCTTTAATATGGCCTCCCCTCCCAGCCATTTTTTATTATACACAAGACGTGAACTCAAAACTTTGTTAGTTTTGTATCTCGTAATAATTTATTTTTTTTTCTATATATTACTAAAGAATTGAGTTATATCAACATTTTTTTAAATATTTAGTTATTTCCTAACTATGTTGGACCTTATTAATAAATAAGAATATTTTATAATAATTAAATACTCTCAAAATAATAAATAATTTTTAAAAATAAAAAATATTATTTTTTATCAATAAAAATTATAATGATAATAATAAAATTCAAACTTAAGACAATTTGCATATACCCAACTTCCTAATACTATGTGAGCTATAATGGTTCAAAATAATTAATATTTACATTTATAAAAATAAAAACATTTATAAATCTCATTAATAACCAACCACTTTTGAATAACACATGATTTGTAATTGTGTTGATATATACTATGATGAGTCATTTCTACTTTTTATTTTACATAGCAATCCACAATATAAAACTCAACCCAATTCAATCAATCTATCCCTAGTTAAATAGTAACCATGATTAGTAAAACCTCCACAAACCCAAATTCAAGTATATAAAAGGGTAATGTTACTTGATTCTCTCCCCATAAAAAAAAATCTCTATATATTTTTTAAAAGTTGGATCTCTTCAAATTCTTCTTTCCTCTCTCCTCCTCCTACAAGCATATATTAAAATAGAGAGATAGAAAAAGGGGTTTAGGGCAAAAAATATATATATAAAAAATACAACAACATTTGGGATTTGGCAAGTTAAGAGATATGTTGGTGAAAATTAGGATGAAAGCATTCTCTCAAGTTTCTCTTTATTGATACTGGTATGTCTCTCTCTCTCCTCTATTTTTCACTTCCAATGAAAATTATTTTTTATTTTATTTTTACTTCCAATGAAAATTATCGTCCCGTTTGACAAATATATTTTTTTTTTCTCTGAAATTTCTGAAAACCCTTATTTTTATTTAATTTTCTGAAGCTATTTTCATTTTCTGATTTTCAAAAACCCTATTGGATTTTGAAGAATAGGGTCTGCATCTGTTGAAAACTTGAACTTTGGCCCCTCCTTCATTCTCCAAAGTCCAAAATACACCATCTGCAATTTTTAGATTTTTAGGCACAGAAACAAAGCGCGGGACTCTGAAAATTATCTCCCTCGCTTCGCTTTCTCTCTCTTACTAGTGTTGTGTAGAGAGAGAAAGCACAGAGTTTTCTTTCTCCAAAAGCCACGACCCATGATTCTGAATCGGTACCTTTTCTCAATTATCACCTTGAATCCTTTCATACCTAGTGTCCCTTCTTTTGTCTCTGCATTTTTTCAATTTTCCGGTGGCGGAATAAAAATCGAACCTTTACACCGTTTTATTTTTGGGGGGGATCTGGATTTGAGATACATGGCAGGTTGGTGTGTCTCGTTAATGGGATTGTCTTTGATTTCGCTAAAACCCCTTGAAAGAGTTTGAAGTTGAAATTGATACTAAGTGTTTTTGTAGGTTAATGTTACCAGGGCACAAGCTGTCTTGATCATTTCCTTGGTGGGTTGTTTTTGAAAGAGATCTGTGCCTACTGCCTAGAAATTGATGACTAACGGGGAACCCTTGGATTTGTATAAGCTTTTCATGGTGGTGAAGGAGAAAGGTGGTTATGATGCTGTTTGTAAGAACAGGTTGTGGGATTTGGTGGGGGAAGAATATGGATTGGGTGGGAAGGTTGGTTCGTCTGTGGAACTAGTTTACAGTAAGCACTTGGGTGCTCTGGAGACATGTTTTAAGAATGTTGCTGATGGTAAGTTCCGTGAGGGTGGTTTTGTGGATGATAGAGTTAAGTTTTGCAAGCGTAAGATTGAGGCACCAGTTGAATCTTTGTCGAAAGATTATGTAGAGGAAGAAAGGGGGGATGAATTTGAGAGGAGGGTGTGTGAGTGTCCGGATGGGAGGAAGTTGTGTGGTACTAATAGAGTGAAGGGTGTGAAACCTGAGTCTAATGTGGCCAATGAAGTTCAAAGTGAAGGATATGTTGATTTGGATATGCTGGACAATGGGGCGAATGAGCCTATTCCCGAAAACTTTTGTAGCCTTAATACTGAAAGGGATATACTGAATGTACCTGGTGTGGGCAAAATACTAACTGTTGATGCATCTGATGCAGAAAGCGACATGCCTATGTTGTCCGATGGAAGCAAGAGCTGTGATAATGATGACGACAACAATAGTGGTGAAGTCTTGATATTGGATCCATCCAGTGTTGACAGAAAGAGCTTTGGTCGTAAGAGGAAGAGAGAGACCAAATCAGAAATGCTAAGTTGGATTACTAGCATTGCTAAAAATCCTTGTGATCCTGCAGTTGGTTCAATGCCTGAAAAGTCTAAGTGGAAGTCTTACAGTAGTCGAGAGATGTGGAAGCAGGCTTTGTTGTTTCGAGAATCTGTCTTTCTGAAGAAAGATTTTCAGACAACCACCGAAAAACTTAGTTGGCAGGTAATGTGAAAAGACCATTTGCTCTTCATTTGCCATGCAGGTCATTTAAGAAATATGAATTAAAATATAGGGTTCGATGTTGTTGTTTTGTTTTGAGATCATATATCATGGAGAAAGATTATCATAAATTTTGGGTAAATTTATTTCCTGAATTATCTAATAATCGAATAGGTGTCTTTATGTGATTTTTTTTTAATGTTTGGTAACTATTATCAGTATTTTTTGTTATAGTCCCTTTCACCATTAGCATTATAATTATTGTATTTATATGTGAAAATCATGGATGGTGTGTTTCTACATTTTTTCCCTTTCATTTATTAATGCATTGGTATTTGTTTATAACTACTATCTTCTTACCTGTTTTCTGGATTGCACCTTCCTATATTGTATTGTTGTATTAAAACGTTCATATTGCAAATCTTCTGTTGATTTTTCCCCCTGTTGAATGTGTTGTTTTTTCATTAGTTGTTAGATAGATCTTTTATGTCTTTAATTATGATATACTTACTACTTAAATCTTGCCCTATTGTTCTCCATACTTTAATTACTGGATACTTTTTTTTATATTTTTTTATTTCCTTCTCATATGTGTTGTTGCAATTCTATTTATGTTGAGCCATGTTCCGTTTCAGAAATCCTGTATATAATTGACATTGATATATTGATATCTATAATCTATAATCTATAGCAATATATAAAGGAATATACTAATTTGGTCTCCATTTTTTTTAAACGATTATACCTTTAATTAACTATAAGGATATAACCATGCACATATGCCGTATCCATTCTTTTTTGTATTTTTTTATTCCTTTACCCCTCAACTACAATGTGAACATTTTTACACTTTATATATATATAAATATATATATACACACATACATATTGATTTATCTATGAAAATGTAACTGCTCTGTAACACATTCCTCCATGGTTTTTCTGGTCCTGCGGAATACGCAATATGTCTTCCGTGTTTTTTTTTTTTTTTTCACCTTCTATTATCTCTATTTTTATTTTATTTTTAAATAAATATATAGAGGCAAGAAGTGTCTCTTTCCCCCTAGTATAATATAAAAGAAGAATCATTTAAAATTGATACGGAAATCATTTAGCTTGTGACATTAATGTTTCATCAAAGTTGATGTCTCAGTTTTTCTGTGCTTAATGTTAGCACAATAAGTTATTACAAAAAAATTAAAATTTCTATTTTTATCTTATTACAAACTATGCTAAATTTAATTACCAAAAAGAAAAATTATACTAAATTTGAATCTTTGTCAATATCTTATTTATGGTGAGAATTCATTAATATCTTACTACTTAGTTCTTTATTTTTTTTTAATTTTATATTCTTCTCAAGCAATTCAAAATTTGAATTTATGTTAAATCAAGTCATTATTATTGATATTTTATTACAATGTTCAAAAATTTTAATTTTTGGTATGAAATGATTGTTGATGTAATGTTTGATTAATTTAGAATTCTATTAGTTGTCTGTTAAATTATCTTTTAAATTATTCCATCTGTTGCATGGGTGTTAATCTATTTTTGAAGTAAACAGAACTCAAAAAACAAGGCAGAGAAACTTGATGAAAGTTCAGCTCATAACTGGTCTTTTGTACTTTTTTTGTATTCTATGAAAGCACAAACACTTCTAATTTGAGGTGTCAGATTTTTACATTCATACTGATATAATAAACTGGTAAAAATAGTGTTAATATCAGTGTATTGCCAAATAGCAGAGGGTAACTAGTTATTAGTTAATTTAATAAGTATCATGTAGTTACTATTTATAGATAAGTTCTTGATAGAATTATTTGCTTTCCTTTTGGATGATAATGGTCTTTTTCTTAGCTGGTACATGAGATGAATTGCATATTTGTTCAAGTGTTTCGACTTGTTTTTATTGAAAATAGAAAACATCCTTGTTGTATCATATTAAAACCAAAATCTTATGCTATTTTGTAGGGTCAGAAAATGCATCCTTCCATGTATGAAGATCGTGTTGGTGGAGTGTACAGTCTTAGACAGAGGTTGAAATGTGACAAGAGGCTTTTATCAGGAAATTCTAAATCTGATGGAGTCTCTTCATCTATAGGAACGCATGGAGGTTCAGAGAAAACCCCAAGTCCTCGTGTTGAAAATCGTCCTGAGAAACAGTTACTTGACTCTTGTACTGCACGCTCAAGTCGAGATAAATGTGCAAGGGTGCGCGTCCCTGTGGGGCCAAAGCATCAAGCTGAAGTGCCGAAATGGACTGACATGACATATGAGAGTGATTCTAAGTGGTTGGGGACCCAAATATGGCCTCTGGAAGAGGTAAATTCCAAACTACTTGTTGCTGAAAGGGACCCCATTGGAAAGGGAAGACAAGATTCATGTGGCTGCCAAGTACAAGGTTCTGTTGAGTGTGTCCGATTCCACATTGTTAAACAAAAGTCTAAAGTTAAGTTGGAATTGGGCGATGCTTTTTTCCGGTGGGATTTCCACAAGGCAGGTGAAGAAGTTAGGGGTTCATGGACTGAGCAAGAAGAGAAGAAGTTCAAAGATGTGGTGAAATCAAACCCTGCTTCACTTGATAAATGTTTTTGGGATCATCTTTTTAAAACCTTTCCTACAAAGAGCAGAGAAGATTTAGTCAGCTACTATTTCAATGTCTTTCTTTTGCAGCGCAGAGCATATCAGAATAGGTATACTCCAGATAACATTGACAGTGATGATGATGAATCAGAATTTACACCATTGAGGAAAATTTTTGGACATCAATCTCAGAAATCGCGCAGCTTCACCTTGTTATCCCCGAAAAAGGCCACAGACAAAACGGCAAAATAGCAAGTGGATGTTGGTCAAACCCTCTGCATCATTGAGAACGTGAACCGACAGTTTTGTGCTTCTTCACTGCAGCAATTTTGGTATGATTGGATCTTTCTCTCCTTACTTAGAATTTTAAATCACCATCGATTTTGGGGAGTAGAAAATGGAACATTAAAAGACTTGTTTGGTGGTAGGGTCAATTTAGGAGAGATGAAAGGTGTTTTTTGGAAGCTGACAACTGAATATCTGACGCTGTGAAAGTTGGGTTGACTTTTGGTTTACATGCTTCTATTCTTGAAACATGCTTTTTGTCTGTTTGCAGTGACATGTTGCACATTTTATTTTCACCATGTTTTGGCAAGGGTTACTTTCAAGTTAAAACAATAGCATAAAAAATATATAGAGCAACATTTTATTGTAGAGTTTTCTGAACAAATACAGCAAAGTGTTATTCAAATTTGTGCCTTTCATCTGATGGGAATTTCAATCTGAATGCTTCTTGCAATGCTATATAGATATTGTTTTTGCTCGTTGCTCTAATACCATTTTTTGGTATTATTTTCCTATTCGAACTTCTTTTTTCTTCTGTAACTTGACATAATTAATGTTTGCATTAAAGATTGTGTCATCACAGGGAAATCTTAATTCTAATTGGAGAATAATACTAAAAACACGTAAAAAATAGAACTATATAACAGTTAGCTATATATATTTGGTCTGTGTAATGTCTTTGTATAAATATTTTTGTAGTGTGATTTTTCATGTGTTGCTAACTGAAGTAGTTGTGAGCGCATCATTGTGGCGAGTTGAATAACAAATACTGATCGGAACTATTATACATATTTATTTAGCTAGGCTAGTTTCAATGACGTAACCTGCAAATGAACAAACGTTGGGAAGTAATATCTTCTTTCCTTGGTCAACATTTTAAGTACATGTCACAAATTTTTTTGTTTTCCAAAGAAAACAGCCAAACCATCACAAAATTCTATCGCATTTGTTTATGTGCTATTGCTATTAATGTTATCATCGATGCTGTTCAAACGACAGATTTCTACTACTATTTGGACAAAGTTTAGGTATTACTTAGGTGTTTTTGGAAGTTAACCAAAATTGATACACTCAAGTCACTAATGATTTATTTGTAGATCTCTAAAATCTTGTTACAATAGGAATTAATTACAACTCCACTAATTACTTTATAGACAAGTTAAGTTATTCTGAAATTGAGTTCTTAATGAGAGCTTCAACCCAAGTGTAGAGGTAGCAACTTTATACGGGATTTTGATCTGTTAAGAGTCTGAATTGGCTCTGATTTGTGAGAGACGAATTTAAAGATCTGTGTTAGCTGTTCGTAGCCACTAGGTTTGTTGAATTCCAATGTCTAGCTTCAAATATGTTATGTACAAGACATTAATGTCAAATAAGCGAAAATTTGAAAATGAACTAAAATTGAGGTTTAAGCTCAACTAAGCTCGTCGATACAAAAACACAGTCAAATTACAAATATTAGATACACATATTGGTCAAATATTTTTTTGAAATAATTCGTAATTGAATGTATAAAGTGTGTTTTTATCAATTTACCCCACACATAGTCTTTTGTATTATCGAGCAAAGAGAAGAATAGGATAATTTCCGGGCTAATAAGATAGGTACGAGTAATTTAGTACCTAACTCTACCCATACTTGCACAAAATAATAATAATAATAATAATAAGTGTCTAATTTGAAAAATGATATATACATCTACTATTTTTATTTTTTTTATATAAACACACCTCATATCTTTTTTTTAAAAAAATCCTAAAATGTCCTTCTAATTAATTTTTATCTTTTTCATTCACCCCTTACCTTCCTCCTCCTCCTCATATACACCTTTTTTTTTAAAAAAAAAATACACCTCCTATCTTTTTTATTAAAAAAATCTTAAAATGTCCTTGTACTTAATTAAAAGGGAGGACAAGGGGATACATGTGAAAATTGAAAGGGAGAGAGAAGGAGATTTGTGGAAAAAAAAGAAGAAAGTGTAAGATTGAATGTTGGAGAAGTAAATTAAAAAAATTAGAAAATAAAAATATTAATAGTATTTTAAGAATTTACTTATATATAAAAAAAAAGGTGCTAACAAGAAGGGTTATTTAGCCCATTGCGGGCTAGTCCAATGTGGGTCACGAGTTACAACATATTAAGTAAAGGTCTGAATTTAATTTTGTACAAATGATGTATACACCTCCCTATCTTGATAAATAAACCCCACTTCCCTATTTTATTTCCAAAATAAATCCTTAAACATCTTTTTAATTTATTCCCTTATTAAAATAAATTTTATTTTCAATAATTATTTTCCTTATTCTCTCGTTCTTTCTCCATTCATTGTATTTCGTTACTTTATCACTCTAACTATTTTTCATTGTTTTTTTTTTTTTTACCTTTTCTTTCTCTACAATCACTACTCATCTTTATTGTTATTTAAATCCAATTTTCTGCACTCTTAACTTCTTTTTTAAATCAATTTTTCAACCCATCTTCCATATTGTATACGTTGGATATAATATTGTAAATTTTTTAAAGTATTGTTTCGAAAGGTATGATCCATAAATTTTAAAATAAATGATTGATTAGAGATAATATTTTATTTTTATTATTATTAGAAAGTAATTTTGCCATATGAACACAAACCCAACTCATTTTGTCATATCTAGTCTAAATAGGAGTGAGCCTTTTTGGCCAACTTATCTGAATTGGTGACTTGCTTAAGGTTAGGCTAATAACTAATATTTATTTTTTTATCATGATATTTATAGAAATATTTATCAGTTTCGTAAAAAATTAATCTTTTTTAAAATTTTGACTATATTAAGATTATTATTTTTAACGTAATTTTTTTATATCAAATTTAAGATTTAATAATATTTTAAATTTATAAATTTAAATTATAATTTTGAATAATAAAATTATAAAGAAAATTTTAAATTTTTTATTCTTATCTACCCAATTACTTTTGTAAAATCCTTTTCATGATTATATTTATCTTTACTCTTTATGTGTTGCTATTTATTTTAATTAATAACAAAAATTCTATATTAAAACTGACACAAAAGACTTAAATCACAAACTAATCTAAAAATATCTCTACAAATTTGTCACAATTATCACAAATAAAAACTAACAAACAAAATCATTTCATTACTCTATAGACTATTCTAAGTATTGAAGCAAAACACGTAAAATAGTTCTTATAAGATAGATTATTTTAGGAACAAAAGTTGTAAAAAAAAAAAAAAAAAACTCAAGTCAAGGATAATGCATGGAGATTGTTAGATAATATTAGTTGAAGATGCATAGAAATTGTTGGATAATATCGGTGAAAAGAATTAGGGACGAGAATAATTTAAACTTTAAACAAGGACATATTATCTAGTTTATTTAAAGTCTGGTTTAATTTAAATAATTTAATAAAAAATTTAATTTTAAAATTTTAAATTTTATTTATTTAAATAGATTGAGCTTCTTTTATGTCAAATATGTTTTTAACTATATAGTATAATAAATATATTAACAATATAATTAAATATAATTAAATAAATAAATTTATAATGAAAAAAATCATTTATATTTCAAACAAAATCAATAAATAGAAGGTAGAAATTATAGTAATTACATTTTCATATACTCTTTTCCTTTATCTTCATAGTCAATTATTTGGAATATTTCAAATAATATAGAAAACATTTAGAAAATTTCTTTTTGTTGATAAAATTACCCACTTTTACCACAATTTGTCGTGAATGTACTTAGTATAAATGAGTATGTATGAGATGTTTTTCTTATATAAATTTTTTAAAATTTAAAATTTAATAATAATAAAGTGTAGTATTTTTTTATAGCACAAATTAAAAAATACGTATATTTAAGATTAGATTCGTGACTTATTTAAAATTAACTTTATTGACTTGTTAATATAAAATAAGTTTTTAAATAAACTAAAAAATAAGATTAAACTTTAAAAAAAAATTAAATTAAGTCTATAATAAAATTTACAATAAATAATAAGTGAAATCTAAACTTTAGATATGACGTATTTTAATACTTAGAAAAATATCCCATGATAATAAGGAACCAAATAATGCTTTTGTAGGAAGGATTTAATATTTTCATTAGCATTATTATTTAGTTAATTACTTAAATATATAATGATCGAAATTACTTAATTGTAATGCTAATGAAGACATCTTGAGCTCTCATTTTGTTCTGTTCATTATGTTTTTTTCTTAGCTTTCAATGACCGACGCCGACAAAACGCAATTCATGACCATGATGTTAATTCTTAGGCATTTTGAACGAGGACTTCTTTTTGCTTTATCTTGATAGCAAATTTATTTATTTTTAGGTTTTGACCCTCGAAATCATTTATTTTACATGTAATATGGGATGACCCATGTGGGCTGGGCTGAATAACTCATTCAATATGACACCTCTATTGATATGTTTTGTAAAAGTTTTATTTTTTTATAGGATTTTAATTTCATTTATGTCATATTTTACTTAATATTTTTATTTAACATTTTTTCATAGTTAATGAAAGCACGAGTAACGAGTATAAGTACGAACATTTAGGTACTCAATAGAGAAGAACAATACAATTTTTAATATAAGAAAAAGACAATATCATATTCGTTTCTCTCATAAAGGACAATGTAAATTTACTCGAAATGATAATATGCTATGAAATAGTCATTTGTCAACGTGATGGGTGTAATTGAAATTGTGACACTCTATACAATTTTTTTATTATTAAATTGTGAAAATTAAGATAAAATCTTATACAACTACTTTATAGATAAAAGATTCACATCACTAAATTTTCCCAATAAAATTTTAAAATAAAATTATGACAAATATAAAAGATTAAGAAGACACTCCAAAAGAGCTTTACAAAGTTTATTAAAAATTAAAAGGTATAAGAAACTAAAATAAACAAAGGTGAAATTTAAACAAACTAAGAATTATATTTTCATCTCCACACTCTAATGTTACATTTATTAGAGTATAACTTCAAATAAAGTAAAATAAACTAGAAACTTAAGCTTTACCTCTAACATTCTCATCATGCACATATAGTTGAACCTTGTCTATAAATAACATTTTTATCCCAAAATATTTTTTTAATCATTTAAATTATAAATTTATGGATAAAATGATATTTTTTTTTAGATAAAATGGTCCTCTTAACAAAATTTTCTCATATAAATGAACACAACTTGATAAAGACACTCCAAAGGTGTATATCAAAGCACATAAAAAATTAAATTAAATTAAAAGATACCAAACTATTATGAAAACTAAATGAGAAAGGTTAAAGTAAACATGAATCTCTCAAAATACCTTGAATGTCACATTATGAGAGAAAAACCATACAACTATAAATGGGAAGCCTAAGCTTCATCTCCAACACGATTCTCATCATCTGCCTAAATCTCACCT